TGAAGGACATTTCCATTCAGAACTTATCTCTTTTTCTTTGTTTACCTTTCCTGTTGCATGTTTTTGTTTGTCTTCCATTTACTTGGTTTATTTTCTCTATGTTCATTGATTAGTAAAAATACTTATCCATGTCTTTACTTTTCCACTACTATTTTACCAACTCATTTTAGTTGAGTTTGTTTTAATAAATGTTGAATGATCATTATCTCTTGGCACCTTAAAATTAGACTTTATCTTGACAACCATTTTACTAAAATATTTGTCATTATGGCCAATTCTAGTGGCCTAAAACCTATATGTTTTCATGATAAATAAATAAAAGCTCTTTTTTGAGATATTAGTCCTTCTTAATTAGTTTTTAAGGAACTTCTCTAATATGCTTCTCCTTAGTCATGTATGAGACTATAACTATGTCCATTCTCTTTCAAAAGTCTTGTAATATTGGTTTTTGGCTGAGTAGCAGCCCAGTTAATCTGGTGTCATTGCAAGTTACTAAATCTGTGGTGGAAAACATGTAAAACTATTCACTACAGATTGGTAAGTAAGTACACATAAACTCACACTTACCTTGCTTACTGGTACTCCATTCCTGTCAGGAATTGTAAATTTGAAAAGAGGCTATGATTTTGTAGGAAGGTACTGTGGGGTTGGGAGAGAGACATATGGCAGCCATATCTAGAAACAGAATCTTTGATGTGGTGAAAAAATGTGAAATTGATCACCACAAATTAGTAAGTAAGCACAAGTCTGTACTTAGTTGCTTATTGAGTAATCTTACACTGGTCAGAGCTGTTGAAGAGCTCCCTCTTATAAAAATCACCATCACTTAAGGAATTCCTCTAAAACTCAACATCCCATTATTTCCTTTGTGTTATATTTGTGGATACCATAGTATTAATTTATTATTTCCTTTGGCAGAGAGATATGTGTTAATGAGATATCTCCAAGTATCCTGGGAATGGAGAGAAATTGGCATCTTCTGAGAGCTAAGTGAACACCAAATAACCATAGCAGTGGGATGGGAAGAATCTCCAAAAAATTAAAACAATATTTTACTATAAGTGACATTTCATTGAGATATATGAGTTCATTAAAGGAGACTCAGAAAAGTCTATCCCATAGCCATTCTTTTAGAACTAAATATTTCAAGTTTATCACTGTGAACTTGTATTATTTTGATAATTTATTATTCAATTTCTGTAAGGGGTAGGTTTCCATTTGTTTTTGTCTTAAAAATTCCAGATTACAATAATCCAGTGAAGTACGGTGTGAAGCCAGCAATACTTTGGTAACATATGTGGATAATATTTTATTATCCATTTCTTATGAAAACCTAACAGCAGGTAGATAGATGTACATTTTGTTCTCAATTCTGCTTTCAGGAAGCTCTGTAACCAAGATCCATAGAACCCTTGGGTGTTTCTAAGCAGTTCTTAGGACAAACCTTGACCTGGTTAATCAAGGTTGACAGGTAAAATATCAGAGAAAGAGGAAGAGAAAAGCCACCAGAATCCAATAAGTATTATGGCGTCATGGCAAAGCATATGAATTTTAAATCATGTATTATATAAGCAAATTAACCTCTTTAATTTCCAGTTTTCTCAGATGTAAATTGGGGTTAAAAAGAGAAAGTACCTCAACGAGCCCACAGTGAAAGCAATCAACCATGTACAAGCCCGTTTGAATGAGTTATGTCTACAATAGTTGATAATTGTCACCAAAATATTTGTCTTTGTTAAGAAAATAGCTTCATTTAGTACATTATAATTATTTATTGGAATATGTCCTCTTCATACAGGATGTTCATCTCAGCCTACAATATAATGAGTCATATGCAAAGAATCATTTGACAGTTTGTGTGTTAAAATATATTTCAATGTATAATTTCAGAGATAATTTACTCTACAAGCAAAGATACTTTCCTGATAATTTTAGTTTATAACCAAGTAAAATCTTATCCACTTCCACTCCTATCTATGCTGTTTTTTTAAAAAAAAATCTCCATGCAACAGGTCACATTTTAATATAAAAGCAAATTACATTTTTTTTTTTTTTTTTGAAATACACACACACACACACACACATTTAAGGCTGAAGCCTTTCAGAAGTAGATTGCCAGGTGTGGTAGTGTGGTAGTTAAGGTTGTGTGTCATCTTGGCTAGACTATAGTTTTGAGTGGCTTGGCAGCTGGATGTAGTTATTCCCCATGATGAATTGTAGTCACCTCCATGGCGGGGTGTGCTGTGAGAGGCTAAGTAGTTGCCTTTGGAGTGTGGCCTGCTTTCAGTACATATGGAGAAGCTTTGAGAAAGGTCTTTAGCTTTTGGCACATTTGGAACCTGCGTTTGGCTGAGTCTTCATCTCTAGTTCCTGGGCTTGAATGAGTGGCCTACCATGTTGTCTACTGATCTTGGGATTGTTCCTGGAGTTGAACCAGTGGCCTGCCATGTTGCTTGTTAATCTTGGGATTGTGCCATTTTCCTGCCAGCCTTGGGTTTGTCAGCCTCAGCATCTAGCACCTGTGTGAGGTAGGAGATACCTGCAGTTCCAGTGAACCTGGAACAAGAGGCAGAGCTGAAGCCCAAGGTTAAGGGGCCATCCCAGACCCTAGAGCTTCTAGCCTCCTAAACTGTAAAAACTAAACTCCTGCTTGTTAAAGCCATCCACTAGGGGTATCTCATTATAGCAGCACTAGAGAGCTAAGACAGCAGGCCTGTCTTCCAAGGCACCTCTGGGTAGATTTGAGATGCCAACATTTTGGCTAGAGCTTAACTGCTTGAGCCACCAAGGACCTTTCTTGAAACTTAGTCACCACTAAGTAGTAACTTGTATATTCTTGCTCAGTTTCAGATTTAAGAAATTTCTGATATTGATATAGGTCTATTATGCATTTAATTGTTTAATAACAATTAAGATAACTTAAATCACTGTTGCATATAATAGATGATACATAGCCAGTACTAACTCCTAGTTGGCACATTAAGTACAGTTGTAATATTGACTTTCATATATGGATGGAACATACCTAATAGACTAAATTTTTCAGATTTATCAAGATACAACATTTTCTCCCACTCTTTGACTGTCAGACTTGACTTATATTACAGGAAATAAACAAAGAAAGATTGACATAATTTCAAAAAGCGCTATTAATCTTTAATTCAGTAGCTTAGATTATCTGAAATGCCCATAAATTAATTCTAAGTATTGTATTTCACTATTTAATAACCTAATATATCTCTTGTTTTCAAGGTTATATTTTCTTCCTAAAATAACCGAGAATAAAGTCTTATTTTGCTATAAACCAACATAAATGCTACAAGAGTATCTATATATGCACTGCTTATTACAATATGTAATGGGGATAATGATAAACAATTCATATGCAACACTATGTGTCTAAAATAGTAATTTTTAAATAAACTGCTTTATTGAAATAGGCCCACAAAAAGTCCACAAATCATACATGTTCTGTTTGATGAATTTTTTAAAATTAAACTACCTGTGTAACCGCTAAAAAAAAAAAAACAAACTCACTACCACTGAGTCGATTCCAACTCGTAGCAACCCCCTTGGGTTTCCCAGGCAGTAAATCTTCACAGAAGTAGGTTGCCCAGTCTTCCTTCCACGGGGTAGCTGGTGGGTGAACTGCCAACCTTCTGGTTACCAGTCATATGCCTTAAGCACCATGCCACCAGAGCTCCCGTGTAACCACTATACAGACTGATAAATAGAACATAGTTGGAATTAAGAGTTTTTCTTTGTTTTGTTTTTTATGTTTTTATTCTGCAAAATACACTGAAAAGGAATCAACATGAACAATTATCCTCATTACCAACTACTAAAAACTTAAGGATTTTCAGTAGTCAGAATATACTATGTGTAAACATTTTGATTTTTACGGAGCTCTGGTAGCATAGTGCCTAAAAGCACTTGACTGCTAACCAGAAGGCTGGCGGTTCAAACCCACCAGCCATTCCTCGGAAGGAAGATAGGGCATTCTACTTCTGTAGTGATACTGCCTTGGAAACCCAAGAAGGGGTCGCTATGAGTCAGGTCCGACTCGACGGCACATAACAACAACAACATTGTTTTACCATTAATTTTTCTGAAATTTAATTCCTTTAAAAATAATCTGATTAGAACAATTCTGTTTGGTGTGGTTATGCTAACTGTTCAAGGGCAAATGTATGTTACTTTGGTAAAAACTTCCACTGTTATTTTGTTTGTTTGATTGTTTTATTAAATTTGCCAAATGATACAGAATGCCTCCTAGGAGAAGGCTTCCTTTTTCTGTGTGGATCCAGTATTAAACATGTCACTTCTAAGCACTGCATCCACTGCACTTGAATGCAGTGAGATGTTTCCATGTCACATGGTCAGAGGGAGGTAGATTAATAGGGAGTTCTAGCTGGAGATTTCTTCCCTGCTATTGTTCTCCCTCAGCAGTTGATGGCTAAGTTAATTCTCTTTAGTTTTGTCATGCTCTAAAGCACACATTGCCAAGCAATGGTAAGCTTTATGAGGAAAAAAAGAAGCAATGGTGTCCATCAAAGTCTTAAAGTTGCATTTTAAACTTTGGCTTGACCCGATGTGCCATTCAAAAAAGCTTCAAAAGATTATTTTTTTTTTTTAAAGAAAGGTTCAATATGTCCTGAGGCTATCGGTTTAGAGTTAAACTGGGTGAAGTAGAAATATTTTACTCATCAGCTTTGCAGTCACAGAGTTTGCCTCAGCTAGAACAAAACTGCTGAGGCATTTAGAGAAAATTAACCCCCCATCCTGGCAGCCAGATGTGACTGGTTTCTGATGAATGCACATGAGTGGGCTGAAAAATCAAGAGACTGTGAAATTCCTGTCAGGTCTGTACAGTGGAGAATGGGCTATTGACTGCTTTCTATATTTCCCTCCATCATTCTTCTTGAACACTGCCATTAATTTCCTCTCCTACTCTGATTTGTGTTTTTTTCCTCCTCCCCGCCCCCCCCCCTTCCCTTTAGCTCTGTCAGCTGCAAAGAAGGATACACAAGGTATGGGAGACGCACTTCAAACTGGTGGCCCTCTGCAGCCGGATGAGGCTGGCCAAGTTCCAGACAGACTCTCAAGAGAGTATTCAGAAAATATTAGCTGTGCAGGTAGGTGATTGCAGGGAAGTAGGAAAGATCATTCTGATCTAGATTGAAAAGCAAATGATGGGTAGTGTGATGAAGCATTAAAACCATATCCCATCAGAGTTTTATAAATTTTTAACCTCTTTAATAAACTGGAATTGCATGAAGGATGAATTCAGTAAGTTAGCATATATAACCATGCATACTTTGGGGGGAACAGGGAGATTCAACTTATTTCTTACAAAGCTCAGAACAGATTTCCTTTTTTATAAATTCGTTGGGTATAAATTCATATTTTCCAATCTTCAGGCTTTACAAGTGATGCCATTCAGCTATTTAAAAGATGTTGTCAACATTGCCTTGTGCCACTTTTGTACAAAATCTACTTCAGTGGAAATAACATTCTTACATTTATTTGATTTAACTCTTTCTTTCCCTTATTTTGTGAGAGGCTTATCCTCCTAAGCAGATTTAAATATGGATTTATTTGAAAAATAAGCAATTTGTGACTAGATTGCTGTTCCTAAATCACAATGCATATGGGATTTTGCTGGTTTCTCTGCACAGACTTTTAAGTGAATGCAATTCCTTTCACTTTAAGACTGATATATTTTGAAGAACTTAATTAATTATATGAAGACTGTTACTTGAATATTACTTTACTGTTTAAAATTGATGTTTTATTCTTTCCAATGCTACAATATGCATATCATGATGCTCAACCCTCTTAAAAAGAAAACAGACATCATCTTGTTGTATTAAACCAGAGAAATACACGTGTCAAAATGTTGATAATGCATGTGTCAACAATTACACGTGCTCTTTAACACTATAATTGAATGAACTTACAGCATAAAATAATGAACGCTGAACCTAAATAATTTAAATCTATTTCTAAACATTTTAATTACATGTGTATGTTTATCATAATTTTAAAAAAAGCATTTTGTAAAGCCCTACCAAAACAATTTCAAATTTAATTCTTATTGGTGTCTATTTTTGGTATTTTCTTCTGAGTATAGTGAACATTGCTTTAAGTATAGATAGATATAAATATAGATTTGCTTTACTATATGTTCTATTGATAATGGTCTATAACCAAAATGAAAATGTAAAATGTTATTGTTGTTGTTTCTAGATTCCATTGAGTTGGCTCTGACTTATAGTGACCCTTATACAACAGAACAAAACACTGTGTGGTCCTGAGCCTCCTCACAATCTTTGCTATGCTTAAGCCCATCATTGCAGCCACTTTGTCAATCCATCTCATTGAGGATCCTCCCCTTTTTTGCTGACTTTCTACTTTACCAACATGATAACTTTCTCCAGGAATAGGTCCCTCGGGCAACATGACCAAAGTAATGGGACAAAGTCTGGCTATTCTCACTTCTAAGGAGCATTCTGGCTGCACTTCTTCCAGGACAGATTTGTTCATTCTGGCAGTTTATTCTTCACCAGCACCACAACGTAAAGGCATGAACTCTTCTTCCATCTTCTTTACTCATTGCCCAGCTTTCACATGGTGGACAACTGAAAATACCATGGCAGAGGTCAGTCACACCTTAGTCTTCAAAGTGACATCTTTGTTCCATAACACTTTAAAGAAGTCCTTTGCAGAAGATTTGCCCAGTGCAATATAACATCTCAACATCTGATTTCTTGACTGCTGTCTCTGTAGATTTTGATTGTACATCCAAGGGAAATAAAATCCCTGACAACTTCAATCTTTTCTCCATTTATTATGCTATTGCTTATTGGTCCAATTGTCAGTATTTTTGTTTTCTTTATTTTGAGATGTAATCCATACTGAAGACTTTAGTCTTTGATCTTCATCAGTAAGTGCTTCAATTCATCTTTCTTTTCAGCAAGGATGATTGTCATCAGCAAGCATGGTTGTTATCTGCATATGACAGGTATTAATGATTGTTCCTCCAATCCTGATGCTGCATTCTTCTTCGTATAGTCCAGCTTCTCAGATTATTCACTCAGCATACAGATTGAATGAGTATAGTGAAAGTGTACAACCCTGATGCACACCTTCCTGATTTTAAACCATGCAGTATCTCCTTGTTCTGTTCCCAAAATAGCTTCTTGGTCTATGTACAGTTTCCTCATGAGTAAAATGAAGTTTGCTGGAATTCCTATTCTTCACATCAGTGTTATAAATAATTGGTTATGATCCACACAGTTGAAAGCCTTTACTTAGTCAGTAAAACACAGGTAAACCTCTTTCTAGTATTCTTTGCTTTCAGCCAAGATCCATCTGACATCAACAATAATATTCCTCATTCCATGCCCTCTTCTGAATCCAGCTAGAATTTCTGGCAATTCCCTGTCAGTATCATGCCACAACTATTCTTGCATTATCTTCAGCAAAATTTAACTTGTACATAATAGCAATGATATTTTTCGATAATTACCACATTTTATTGGATCACTTTTCTTTGAAATGGGCACAAATATGGATCTCTTCCAGTTGGCTGACCAGGTAGCTGTCTTCCAAATTTCTTGGCATAAATGAGTAAGAGATTCTAGTACTGCATCTGTTTGTTGAAATATCTTAGTGGGTACTCCATTAATTCCTTTTGCCAATTCCTTCAGTGTAGTTTGGACTTCTTCTTTCAATACCATTGATTCTTCATCATGTGTTACCTCCTGAAATAGATGAACATAGACCAATTCTTTTTGATACAGTGACTGTGTATTCCTTCAATCTTTTACTAATGCTTCCTGTATCATTCAATATTTTGCCCGTAGAATCTTTCAGTATTGCAACTCAAGGCTTAATTTTTTTTTCTTCTGTTCTTTCAGATTGAGAAACACTGAGTGTGTTCTTCCCTTTTGGTTTTCTAACTCCAGGTCTTCACATATTTCATTATAATACTTTATCTTCTCTATCCACCCTTTGAAATCTTCTTTTCAGCTCTTTTCTCTAATTTCTTGCATTTGCTTTAGCTCCTTTCCATTCAAGAGCAAGTTTCAGAGTCTCTTCTGACATCCATTCTGGTCTTTTTTTTTTTTTTTTTTTTTCCTGTCTTTTTAATGACCTTTTGCTTTTTCCATGTATGATGTTCTTGATGTCATCCCACAACTCATCTGATCTTCAGTCATTGGTGTTCAGGGCATCAAATTTATTCTTCAAATAGTCTCTAAATTCAGATAGGATATAACCAAGGTCATATGCTTTAAATATGTGTAGTCTTATATATGAGTTTCTATAAAACCTATGCATTTTAAGCACTGCCTTTTCCAAATTTTTCTTCAAATATTCTCCCACTTTTCTTAAAAAAATTTTTTTAAATATTTTAAAATTTGCAAAAGGCAGTGCTAAAATGCATAGATTTTATAGAAATTCATATACAAGTTTGAATATAAACACAACTGCAGTAGTTTAGAAGCTGGGGACATCTTATTTTACTTAAAATGTCTGTTAACAGGGCAGAAAAATGGCATCTTACCTGTAGCCCACAAGTTTGTTCCCTCTAGCATCTTAGTGCTTGAAAAACTATGTGCAGCAGTTTCAAGTGGGGATTTTGGGCCTGTTAACAGCACATTAAGATGGAGAAGGCCAGATTTAGTGGAGAAGGAGAAGAAAGGAGGGAGCAGCAGAGTAAACAGCTGGGAAGAATAAAAATAAACGAACGTGCCCTGTGGTGCACGAACCATTGGGATGAAGCAATAGAAAACTCCCTAGGCAGTGAAGCGGGAACACCAAAGACCAGCAGCCACTCCAGAGGACTGCCCACAGAACTGGCTTCTATCGGTAACTTTGGAACTGGTGCTAAGTGGGTTGGCAGCATTTCTAAGAAGTAGAGACTGGCTTGGGTCACCACTGAATTGGGAGCAGAGAAAGAAGCATGCCACAGGTGGGTGGGCCCTGGGATGAACTCATGATGTGGGGATAGGGTCCAGCTCTTCCAGGATAGCTTTTTGGCATGAAGGAGCCTGGAGTACAGGGTTTTTGCAGCTGTCTGAACCAGGTGGAAAGTAGCAACTCCCTAACCACTGAGGTCTTCACTGAATTTAAACTGTGGGACTGTGAGTGACAATATAACATCATCATTAGCAGAAATGCCCTACTAGTGAATTGGAGCTTTTTTTTTTTTTTTTTTT